AAAAAAAAAAAAAAAAGTCGGTGTCGCGAATTTTATTATTATATTCGACAGTGAAACTGCCTTAAACGCTGCTGTGGAAAACGTTCATTGTCTCGACGATTCTTCTAGACGTTGCCTCGTTTCGTCATCAACTGATCATCGTACTGTTTCAAATTCCAATTAGAAAAGAAACGAAAAGACAGCGAAAAGGAAGCTTTGCTGTGGTCAGTTTTTATGGAAAAACTTTCGTGATACATGATCGGCAATAGAGCGATAGAGAAATAATAAGTTGAGAGACTACGGACTAGAATCTTTTTCACACGACGCTTTGTTTGACACGAGAAACTTTTCATTTATTTTCAAATTCGAGGATCTCGGAGATAGCAATCAATATTGTTATTTCCACTCGAGGAAAGCTGCGTGTGAAAATATTTCATCTCGTCGTATATCTCTACGATTCGTTCTTCCACGTACAGTTCACTACCTTACCGGCTGTATCACAATTATTGGGATACACTCTGTGTTTTCTTTTCTTTTTCATTTTTTTTTGGTGAAAGCGTATTCATCCATGCGTAGCGAAGAGCGAACTACATATCTATGTCTTGTCGATGTCGTCCTAGCTTTATTTCCGAGACATTCGTATATTATTTCGTCCAAAATTTGTCCGTTTAGAGAAATATCTCTGATTTTTTTTTTTTTTTTTGTTATTTTATGTCTCTTTTTAATGGCGATGTTTTTCTGTACTTCTTAGCGGATTTTATGCTAGGTGAGGAAATCGTTGCTTATATGTAATTCGTTGTTAGCGGAATTAATAAAGACGATCGTTAATTCTCATCGCGATAGTCGCGGCTAAAACGAGAATCTGTACAACCGTGCTTGTAGTTTCAACGAAGATGTATTTATTTCTTGTTGAGCGTTATTTATTTATAGACGGAGAGAAGGGACAAGCGAATATGCCCTCCCTTCCTGATTGTAGACGGTAATTGCACGTTGTTCGCAAGAAGATGTACGCTATATATTTTCTAATTAGAGAGGAGGAAAGGCAAACGCGGTGTAACACACTCATTTTACTCTTGTACTATACTTTTAGTAGA